CAAGGTGCTTTATTTTTACTGGCCGCCAGGAGGTGGTCGCAGTGTTTTTTTTTTTCAGTACTTTGGGACTGGGGGCTTGGGCCCTTTGAATTGTGAATTTCAGTGTCCGTTAGGCTAAATTGGGAATTTCCAAGAAAACCAATTAAAATGCATTGCCAAAAAGCTTAATTTTTGTCTTTGTATTACTTTAACAAATAATTCTTATAACAAATCAAGACTATTCTTGGTATAAATTATCTTATTACTTGCATCAAGAACAATACTGGTATGAATTATCTAGTAATGAAGAGAATACAACATGGCTGAACAACCAAATCTGCTTCAACTCCACTGAAAAACATGTAATAAACTGAATTTAATCACATATTTTGTAGATTTTTCTTTGGAAAACTTCCACTACAATTTGGGAAAATACAGGCATATTTATACCCCCGCAAACGAAGTTTGGGGAGTATATAAGAATCATCTTGTACGTCTGTCTGTCTGTCCGTCTGTCTGTCTGTGCATTCGTGTCCGGTCCATATCTTTCTTACAGAGGGACATTAGAATCTACTACTTCACACTGAGATTGCTCATGACCTAAGAGTGTGTCATGACCTTAACCCAAGGTTATTTGAAGAAGTTCAAGGTCACTGGAAGAAAAATTTGATAATTTGTGTCCGGTCCATATCTTACTTATGGATAAATTTGGTAGGTTCTCATATCACACAAAGATTACCCATGACCCAAGAGTGTGTAATGACCCTGACCCAAAGTCATTTTGGGAAGTTCAATGTCACTGGTAGAAAAATTTCATAATTTGTGTTAAGTCCATATCTTTCTTATGCATAAACTTGGTAGGTTCTCATTTCACACAACAATTTTCCATGTCCTAAGAATGTGACATGACCTTAACCCAAGGTCATTTTGGGAAGTTAAAGGTCACTGGTAGAAAAATTTCATAATTCGTGTCCAGCCATATCTTTCTTATGGGTAAACTTGGTAGGTTTTTATTTCACACAAAGATTACCCATGACCCAATGGTGTGTCATGACCTTGACTTGATGTCATTTGGAGAAATTCAAGGTCACTGGAAGAAAAATTTCGTAATTCGTGTCCAATCTATATCTTTCTTATGGATAAACTTGGTAGGTTCTCATTTCACTGAAAGATTGCCCATGACCCAAGGATGTGTCATGACTTTGACCCAAGGTTATTTCAGAAGTTCAAGGTCACTTGAATAAAAATTTCATAATTTGTATTTGTTACATATCTTTATTATGGAAAAACTTACTTCTGAAAAATCAAGCAGGGGGTATTTTGTCCTGTTTGGACAGTTCTAGTTTCAATTGGGAATGGGGCCGAATTTCGGACCCAAATTGGCCCGAAAGAAATAGAATGTAAAACAAAGTTCATCTAAATGCTTAACCAAAAAAACACAATTATCATGAAATTCAAATTTTATCAATGATGGGGTTAATATTCATCCAATCCAGATTGACACACTCTGAAAAGACTAAGTGCAGAGAAAATTAGCATGAGTGATAGGCAAAATCTAAAACAAAAACTGCATTATATATACATTGTAGTCAACAATTTTACTTTTTCTTTGTTGTATTTATTTTAAAATGACCTGTATATTTAAACATTGCCTATGGAAAAATTTCAAAAATAGAATGAAATATTGATTTCTGCTTCTGATTTTAAAAGCACAGAATCATAGTGAATATGAGGTTTTGGTCAAAAAAATTAGGAAACTACCAAGTTTTACAATCTGCCTAGCACTTTCTCGCCATATCTTAATGACTGAAAGAGAAGAAATGTAATGATGGATCTATAGGGAGGTTTCTTATTGGGGAGAGGGGGGGGGGGGTTAACATCCTCTAAGAAAGAGTGAGGAGCCCCACATATTTCTTGATTTTAATTAGCTCACCTTAGCCTAAAGCTCAAGCATTAAGTGACATTTTTTTCGGCGTCTGTCTGTCTGTCCGTCCGTCTGTCCATCTGTCTGTCTGTCTTTAAACTTTTCACATTTTCGACTTCTTCTCAAGAACCGCTAGGCCAATTTTAACCAAACTTGCCACAAAGTATCATTGGGTGAAGGGGGTTCAAGTTTGTTCAAAGGAAGGGCCACACCCTCATTCAAAGGGAGATTACTAGGAATTGATGAAAATTTGATGACATGCTTTAAAAATCTTCTACTCAAGAACCACTGTGCCAGGAAAGATGAAAGTTATGGGAAAACATCCTCAGGTAGTGTAGATTCAAATTTGTTCAAATCATGACCCCCCCCCCCCCCGGGGGTCAGGCGGGGCCAAAATGGCTGAACAAAGTTTTCCATAGAAATATATAGGACAAATCTTTAAAAATCTTCTTCTCAAGAACCACTAATGTCAGGAAAGATGAAATCCATGTGGAATCATCCTCAGTAGTGTTGATGTAAATTAGCATGTACTTTTTCCTAGTTGATGTGCTCAGTTGAGCGTTATGGCCCCTGAGCCTCTTGGTATGTTTGGTCACTAAATATTTGTTATACTCTGCTATGAATATGGCCAGGGCATATAGTGTTTGTCATGTCCGTCTTCCATCCTTTTGTCTTTCCGTCCTTCTGTCCTTCCGTCACACTTTGCATTAAGCTCTGCTCAAAGCTAAGTTTCAAAGAAACCACCCGATAGGTATTGATGAGAGCTATGCAACTGCATCAACATTTTTTGACCTTGACCTTTCCTTTGACCTTGACCTCACTTTTGTTAAATTAGTGTTTAGCTCAGTTTTAAACATATCATTCAAGATGGATTTATCAAACTTCACATGTTGATCAATATAAACTTGCATGGATGATGTATCTCAGGATGAACACTACCAGCCTTGCTTCGGATGCTGGATCTGATCTACATTTTCCAAATGAGTGACCATATTTAAGTTTTTGGAGCAGGTCCATTCCAAAGGAATTATAAGCCCTACCTGGACCAAACTTACATGGATGATGATGAATCTAGGGATGGACACTACCAGACTTGCTTCGGATGCTGGATCTGACGTATATTTTCATTCCCAAGTAACTATAAGCCCTGCCTAAACCAACCTTGCATGGATGATGCATCTAGAGATGGACACTACAAGACTTGCTTTGGATGCTGGATTTTACCTATATTTTCATTCCCAAGTTACTATAAGTCCTACCCTACCAAATTTGCATAGATGATGCATCTTGGGAAGGACCTTGACCTCACTTTTGTTAAATTAATGTTTAGCTCAGTTTTAAACATATCATTCAAGATGGATTTATCAAACTTCACATGTTGATCAATACAAACTTGCATGGATGATGCATCTCAGGATGAACACTACCAGACTTGCTTCGGATGCTGGATCTGATCTACATTTTCCAAATGAGTGACCATATTTAAGTTTTTGGAGCAGGTCCATTCCTAAGGAATTATTAGCCGTACTTGGACCAAACTTGCATGAATGATGCATCTAGGGATGGACACTACCAGACTTGTTTCGGATGCTGGATCTGACGTATATTTTCATTCCCAAGTAACTATAAGCCCTGCCTGAACCAAACTTGCATGGATGTTGCATCTAGGGATGGACACTACAAGTCTTGCTTTGGATGCTGGATTTGACCTATATTTTCATTCCCAAGTAACTATAAGTCCTACCCGAACCAAACTTGCAAGAATGATGCATCTAGGGATGGACCTTGACCTCAGTTTTATTAAATTAGTGTTTAAAAAGTTCTATATTTAATCAATTTTTCAATCTATAAAAAATAATTACAAGGGCAATAACTCCTTCTAAAGTCTCTTCATTCAGGCATTTGCTTTTCTGTAAAATAGTTTACCTGATATTCACAATTCAAAAGTATCTTTAAAGTAGGAAGTATTTAGGAACACTCAGCATCAGAATTATGCATTTTAACCAGTTTTTACATATTTTTCTCAATACTGTTTATAAAAAATGTACAATTTTTTTATGTTGACATACACTTCTATTTATTTATGTTCAGCATCTTAAATAATAAGGTGACCTATACATTTTTGCAATAAATGGAAAGTTTAAAGTACATTGAATGAAAAAAAATGCAGTTTTTGTACTTTGAACCTATAATATTGTGAGGGTGGAAATTCCTTAAGTCAATTTGCAATGCTATGAACACTGTGAAATGTGGATTTAGATATAAATTTTTATAATTTATTTTTGTTAAATAGTTATGATCTCATTGAATTCTAAAAACAAGAAATAGATTAAAAGAAGATTTTTTTATTTACTTCTTTTAACTTAATGTTAATTAATTTTTAAGGTAGTTTTATAAAAACCCCATTCTATCATTAATACTGAAAAAATTCCTTAGATATTGTATCTTTGGAAGAAAATGATGAGAGAGGTACAATTAATCCTTTGGGATCAATTATCTAGCCTGCTGCAGAAAATTTAATAGGCTTTTCTTTATCTTTAAGATTAATGAAAACCTTTGTCTGCAACTGCTGTTTGTTTGAAGTTAAGGTCAAGCCTTCATGATATTTGCATTCATTGAAGGCTGGCATTCTATATAACACAAGCTTCATATAATTGTTTAATACATTCAATGTTAAGCTGTTATTCACTGTCTAATGTAAATACATGGATATTATTTTCAGATTTTCGAATATTCAGGAATTATTTTGAAATTTTAAGAATACAGTTGCTGTTGCTTATTCTTTGTACATTTTTTAATCATTCCGTAAGCTGCACCCTTTTAATTCTACCCCATGGCGGGGCCCTTTCTGACTGGTCAGTTTTCTAGTTGTCATAAGTGACAAGTGGCCAAAAGCCACGTTGTATACCAAAGTCTGCGTGATCTGAATTGCAGCACCGGGCAAATGACAAAACGTATTTGTAAAAATTGAAAACCTTACACACAATAGACAAGTGTCAATTTTATATTGTGCATTCGTTTCCATTCCTGTAAGATTTCGGAAAAACCAGTATAATGCAAAGGAATTTTTACTTAATAATAATTTCTTTTTTTACAGTGGCTGATGATGACTCACCATTGAAGTCATTTATCAGGATAAATGCTGCAGATTTGAAACCAGACCCGGGCAGTGCAACTGACATCTCCGACACAAATGAACAAGAAGACAATTTGGAGCAAGGAAGTACTGATAAAAACTCTGAAGTAGTTTTATATAGCCGAGAAGAAAAGAAAGAAGAGAAGGTTGAGAGGTCAATTTCTCCAACTGAAGGCAAAGAAGTACAGGATACAGTTGAGACAATGGCCAGTGTTCTCTCCTCAGAAGCACAAGTAATGTTGAAGGATGAAATTTTCCAAAAAATCTTGTCTGAAAAAGAAAAATTTCCAACTGTAAGCTTGCTGGATTTTGCTGGGCAGTTAGCTTATTATGCTTGTCACCAAATTTACGTAACACCAAAGGCCTTCTTTATTCTTGTGCTGGACATGACTAAGAGGTTTGAAGATGTTGTGGATAAAGAGAAAGATAACCAAGAAGGATCAATCTTTTCCGTTTGGACTTACAGAGGTAAGACACTTATAAAATGTCAGATGTTTTAAGGTAGTTACCGGTATTAAGTTTACGCATCCATTTGTACTTTTGTTCATCGAAAATACACATTCATTTATCATTTTGTTTAGTAGCATGTTTCATTGAAATTGGTCTAGTGGTTCTTGAGTAGAAGATGAAATTGTGAAAGCTATTACAACAACAACAATGACAAACAACGGACAATTTTTTTATCAGAAAAACTGACCATGACCCTAGATGATTCTCACAAGTTCAAGGTCACTAGCAGAAAATGTTTAAATCCTTGTCCAGGCCATATCTTTGTAATGGAGAATAACTGGGAGCTCATACTTGATACAAACTTTAATTTGTTTGTCATGATCTGCGGGTGTGTTCTGACCTTGAACTTGGTCTTTTTCAGCGAGTTTAATTTCACCGGCAAAAAACGGTTTATCAAGCTTGTCCAGGTTAAAACTTTGTAATGAAATTTCATTGGAAGATCATTTTTGATACACAGACTATTAACTATCCATGGATGTTCATGTGCTTGACCCAAGGTTAATAAAACAAATTCAAGATCACTGGTAAAAAAAATTTAAGATTCACAAAAGGTCTATGATTTTCTAAAGGATAAATTTTTCATTTCTGTATTTTACCTACAGAGTACCAGACTGTGTTTGTTTTAGCAAAGGTTTTTTTTTAATTTCAAGGTCAATTATTCAAAATTTAAATAGAAACTTTTAAAAAGATTGTATGGGGATAATTTTTTGTGAACTTTCAAACATCACCTTAAGTTCAAAATTGATTTTTATATCTATGTAAACCTTTGACCTCTTTCTGTGGTCGCATTACCTGGGCCATTATTTACATAATTTGAATCTCAGAACGTACTCCTAAGCGAAATCATAAATGGTGGCGAGTTTCATGTAATGTTATGTTTTATTTAAAAAATAACAACCAATGAATTTTTTCTTTCTGATATTAAAATTAATCAGTTAATGCTAAATGGGGTTCAACAATCAAATGGGGTTATTTTGTATGAGATGATGTTCCCATTGGGTTATCATTTGTGATGGGTATCATTTCATGTCAGTTGTGGTGGGTATAGGTTCATTTCTTTGGATGTGACCCATAAACTGTCCGTCAGTAGCCAAGAACGCGGCTAGGTTAAGGACTCCCAAATGCAAATGTATATCAGTCTATGCAGATCTTCCGGCAAACGATAATGACATCATGGTGAAACCGTACAAATAATATTCTTTTTCTTACACTCTTGTATACTGTGATTTCTCATAATTATTGAAAACATAAATTGCTGTTTAACTTATCTTGTCATTATAACTCTATTAAAATGTAAAATCAAAGCCAACTTGATCTCGCTATACTGACAGTGATGACATCATAGACTAGTTTGACATGCAGTTTCTCTTTACTTGAGACGCAGATCCGGCTATTATTGCAATTTGTAAAAATGAAAAAACAAATTAAGCGTGATCTGACTAAATTGAGTCATATTTTGAATACATTACTCAATTTTTAACAGTTATTGAATTTATAATGAATAGGTCTCTTATAAAGCCGCAGTCATGCAATTCAACATACTACAATCACAGGCACAACCCCTCGAAAATCTCAAGAGTTCAACCATATCCGCTTAACTATTAATTATGATATTTTATACACATATATTTGCATTTCAACTGCTCTCTCTCACTATGAACATGTAGCCATTATCTGCGTTCATAGGACTATGAACGCAATTGCTTCTGCCATGAGTGCAATTGCTCTATCTCAATCTTGTAGAACAAGCTCTACTACACTTATAAAACCGTGTTGAGAAGTATATATATGAAATGTTTCGTAAAAGGACTAAAAATAAGTTTTTAATAATATTTTTTGCAAAAAAGGAATTCAGAACAATTTAAAATTGCTGTTTGATATCTTTAAAAATTTAATTTTGGTCAATGTATTTAATTGTAATTTAAAACTTTTTAAAAATTGAATAGAACTCCATATTTTTATTTTTTCGTATCAAGCATACTTGTACAAAGAACGATAACTCTTCACACCTGGGTAATAACATACAGATCTATATCTATTTCAAGAAAAAATAAATAGAAAAAGTACCAAAAAAAATCACAGTAAAGCATACTGGAGTAATAATCATTATAAAATCATTCTAATTTTTATCATACTGTTGTGTTAGTTGGTAGAAATATAAATAATGCAGTGAAGGAATAATAAATAAACAATAGTGAGTTATGAATAACTCACCATAAATGAGTTACCGGATCTCACAAGCCGACGAACGTCTATCTGCTGTAAGGTCTGGAGGGTAACTAATAAAAACTGTTTATATGCTATTAATAGACATTAAAAGTATTCCGATCCCGATGATAAATACATCGGTTATCACCACATTCCTCCCCATCATATTTGAAAGGTCTTATACATATGATCATAAGAATATTTACATCTTTTAATATATCAATACATATAAGGCCAATAAAAACTTAAAAGGAACATGGACGTGTCAAAATAAAAACTTCTGAATATTTATTACACACGGACAATGAAATTGACAACAATCAGACGATCCGACTATTTATCAGCACTGTCCATATGCAATAAATAATGATAAAAGATACTGTTAAACTTTATAAATAATACTTTGTTGAATTTTAATCTTGAAATTGTCCAGTAAGAAATCATTTCCCAAATCTGAGAGATGGACGCCATCTCTTCTAAATAGATATCTTTTTCTTGGTTCAATTTTACCAAGTGTAATAATATTTTCTTTTCCAATAAAATCACTAAATACTTTGTTAATCATAGACCTTTCCTTTCCTCCCTCTTTCCAAATTAAACCCCTCCAAGTAAGTCTTGTTAATAGTTCTGAAAAATTACTAAATATTGTTGTTTATATTGAGAACTGTTTACAGTAAAAGTTAGAGTTTTGGGGATCTTGAATCCAACATTATTTTACTACATTATTAAAATTGTTAAAATTCTATTTACTTATAGTCTTTTAATTAAAAAAAAAATACTGACTTAAACTAGCATGATGCTAAATGAGAACAATCAGACAATCTGACAGTACATCATCTGTATCAATGTTCCCTAATCTACACTTAAAACATTCCTTAAAATAAAATAAACAGATTTTAGAGTAAAATATCTTGATAAAATATTTTTTAGATTTTAAAAGTATATTTTGAAAGGTTTTATCGTGTTTATTTATTAATGAATTATTAGAAACTCCTCCAACAAAAACATCAGACTATCCGACATCAGTGATGGAAAATTCTCTAATAATTCTTGACGTAAATAAAAAATGCATTTATTAATTAAAAATTTCAAGAAATAAAATTTCCAATTGTTTGAATCTGCGGGTTTGATAGGCTTGACTGAAATAGAATATGGGGTTATAGTTTAAATCTAGTATGGGGCTGTGGCCTTGGTGTATTGATGTGAGCTGAAGAATGGCCTACTTCCTCAGCTCTTGAAAGTTTAAAGATTGTGAGGATGATCTGTTTTGTGAAGGTGATCTTGATTTTGAATACGCCTGATGTAAACAGTCTCTTGCGTAGTGACCCATCTCACCACACTGGAAACATTCCACCGGTCTGGCTCTTTCAGGACTATATGATCTTGATTGATCATCTCTTGTAGGAGATTGTGATGGTGATTCGTATCTTGGTCTTGATTCTCTCTGTGTCTCCTTCAATCTTTGTAAAATTTCCTTTAGCAATCTCTTGGACTCTCTATTGTCATTTTCTAGAGCTGTCATTCTTGTTTCTAATGAAGGTACAGTTGTAGGTGTGGTTCTGTTGATAACCCTGATGCTCGCATCTTCTTCGTGTACAGTTATAGATCCAATTTCATCTGACCTCTCTTCAAAGATAACCTTTCTGACTTCTCTTTTAGGCCCCATTATTAACTTCTGGTTGGTAATGACACTTTTCATATGTTGGACTGCCTCATCCAATGTTTTTGCATCTTTGTCTAATGTGACCAGTGTGGCTCTTTTCTCTCTACAGTCCCTTAGGAAAGCATCGATGGTAATGATGCTCCTGTAGTATTCCGGGCTGTCTGGGTAACCATCATTTGTAAGGTCTTCAATTCTCTCAGCGAATTCCTCTAAGGTCTCATCTGTGTTCTGTTTTATTTCCTGTAATTGTCTTCTGATGATGTGAGGCTGATCTTTCTTGTCGAACCTCTCTTTCATTTTCTGGCATAAGATCTTATAATCTTTCTGTACATTTCCTGGTCTAGAACTGAAGAATTTTAAAGCTTTCTCTCTTAAACATTCTATCAATTTGTCTAACTTTTCTTTTTCATTCCACATATATTTCTTTGCAATGTGATTAAACTGTATAAAATAGGGTTTCCACTCTGATTTTCCATCATAGTTTGATAATTTTGGAGTAGCTGGACTGCATGGTGTTTTTGTGTAACTTCTGTTGTCTTCTGTTTTCTCCCTGCTATGGTAAACATTTTGGGGAGCCAACCTATTTATGTGTGGAATGTAATCTTCCTGCTCTCTCTCTGATTTTATTTGTCTCAAATCTCTTTCTCTCTTTACAATATCTTTTTCTCTCTGATCTAATTCTCTCATTCTTATCCTGAAATGTTCCTCTCTTTCTGCTCTTTCTTTTTCGTCCAATCTTTTTACTTTCTCTTTCTGATCTACAAATCTTTGCATTCGGTAATCTAACTCACTTTCTCTCATAGCAAATCTTTCATACATTTCTTTCTCTTTCATTTCAAACTTATTCTGCATCTCTTCAAATATTTGATCTGCTTTCTCTTGACTAGAAATGGAGCTCTTATGTAACAAAGTTAGTTCTTCTTCTTTCTCTTTAATTTCATCCTCTTTCTCTCTTATCAGAATCTCACTTTCCCTGATCTTTACATCTTTTTCCCATATTTCTCTCTCTAACGCCTGAATTTTCTCTATTAATTTCTTTTGGGGGTCTTCTGAGGGCTTGGTTGTTTGAACGTGTGGTATATTTTGATCTGAAGTTTGTTCTGTAGTGTCAGAATGTCTAAGAATGGATGGTACAGTGATTAATCCTTCTTCTACCAAAGGATCCCAGATTGTACTTGGGACATTGGGGATTAATTTTAGATCTTCTAATGTGACCTCTCCCTTTTGATCTCTGACCTCTAATATTGCTTTTGCCCTTTTATCGCCAATATTTCGGATTGTTTTCAAGGTTTCGAGTAAGGCCATGTTAATATTTATAGGAGTAGTCATGGTCTAAATGCTCCTATACCTAAATACACCTTTTTTGTTTGATCCTACATGATGTTTTAACTAAGTCATCAGACAATCCGACGAATTAGTTGTCTTGTTTTGCTTTGAAAAACATGTAGGTGTATTCTAGGAAAAATGAATAAAAAAAATAAATAAATAAATCTGAAAAAAAAAAAATGAAAAATAAACAAATATAAGGGAAAGAAAAAAAATTAATAAACTATTTCTCCAAAAAAAATATTGTCTTCAAAGCTAGAAGACAAAGAGAAATAAGTTGCTTTCCCACCAAAAAATCTACAAAAGATAAACAAATACTTTTCTCAAACAAAATATTGTCTAGAAGAGACAAAGAGAAATTTCAAATAGACTAGCACAAAATAAATAAATACTTTTTCTAAAAAAAAATATTATCTATAAGAGATAAAGAGAAATCTGAAAAAATGTCTTGTGAAATAAACAGAGTTTCTCAAAATAAATATTGTCTGTAAGAGACAAAGAGAATACTACAACTTGACAAAATAAACAAAAAAATGTTTCTCAAAATAAATATTGTCTTTAAGAGACAAAGAGAAAGTTAAACAAAATTCTACAAAATAAATAAAAAGGGTTTCTCAAAAAAAAATATTGTCTTTTTGAGACAAAGAGAATTTTAAAAAACGGCGCCAAAAAATGCACGATCTTCTGTGCGGGGTTTTTCGTATAACTACCACTTCTGACACCAATGTTGTGTTAATTGGTAGAAATATAAATAATGCAGTGAAGGAATAATAAATAAACAATAGTGAGTTATGAATAACTCACCATAAATGAGTTACCGGATCTTACAAGCCGACGAACGTCTATCTGCTGTAAGGTCTGGAGGGTAACTAATAAAAACTGTTTATATGCTATTAATAGACATTAAAAGTATTCCGATCCCGATGATAAATACATCGGTTATCACCACAATACTGTTAAATAATTGATTTTTGTCAGAGGATTTCAATAACGTTGATCGATGACGTCACGACTGCATCAAAACAAAAATTAAGAGAATGTAATGACGGCGCTGCTTGTATCCGGATCACTGTGTTAGAGTTGGAAATACTTTTTAAATTGTGATTTATTAGAGAAAAGGAGTATTGATCAGGTGTACTGATTTTAAAGCCGTATGTGTTTTCTTTACTGAAGACAGAAGAAGCTACGTCCTTATGTAAGTCAGGATTTCCTCTGATATTCTTGACAACATCAAAGAATGCAAATATAAGTAATAAACAACGATTATTTAGTGAACATGGCGTGATGAATAGCAATAGCTGTGCTGGCATATTTTCCATGATGCGCTAGCGCGCATCATGGAATATGCCAGCAGAGCAATTGCTATTCATCACGCCATGTTCACTAAATAACGTTGTTTATTTCTTAAGTAGCTACATGTGTATAAAATATCATAATTTATTATTAACCCTACCATTTTCAAAAGTGCTTGGAGTAAGTTGTGCACTGTTGGTTTTTTCGTAATTTTACATTATTTTAATGCGTATAATGTAAATTTACGCAGTTTTTCAAAAGACAGCTTCATTTAAAATAATTCCCGGGCATGGGGAAGTTGCTCCCAGCACTTTTCAGGTTAAGGAATTTGTCTTAAAGGAAATGCTATCAATTTCATAGTGAAAAATCACTTTTGCCGAACTAGATTGAGACCCCATATATGCATATGTTTTAGTACAATTCCCATTAAATGGAAGCTCATGCTTAGAGAAAAGATATCAATATTATATTGATTTTCTTGGAATATTTTAAGGCATATTTCCTATGAGCGGCCTTAACCTAGCTGCGATTGATGAATCTGTTTTCAGAGGGTATAACCATTGAAATGGACTTAACTTGTCTTCATTTGCTACAGTGTATTTGCCTTTAGAAGTACACTGCACTTTGATACAGAACCACCAGGCAGATTTTCACCAAACTTACATACAAGGATCAGGATATGTTGAAGATTAAATATTCTTTCTTCAAGGCATGACCCTAGGGCAAAGGGCGTGGTCTCAAGGTCACTTCAAAGTTGACCTAAATGTACATTTAATAAAAACGTGTATATTTTTCTTACTATAAGGACTAGGATCATCAAATCTTGTAAGTTGATGCATCTTACAATTTCACATCATTTTAACTCAAAAGTAGGTCACCGTGACCTACTTTTTAAATTTTGCGGGGATTTGTTTTCAAATTGATTTGAAGGCATATTTTGGACACTTTAAGGCCTATGATCATCAAACTTTGTCAGTTGATGCATCTTGGTTCCTCAAACAATGCCAACTTAAAATTAGGTCATCGTGACCTACTTTTTGAACTTTATGACTTATCTTTTTAAAAACATTAAATCCCATTATTTCAGACACTGAGAGGTTTAGAATCATCAAATCTTGTACTTTGAGACCTTAAAACATAATTATGAAAAAGTAGGTCACTGTGACCTACTTTTTGAATGCTAACATTTGTTTTCAAATTGTTTAAAATGCATATTTTGATTACCATTAGACCTACGATCATCAAACTTGGTCAGTAGATGCATCTTGGGTCTTTGAAAAATGTCAACCAAAATGTAGGTCACGATGACCTACTTTCGACATTTTGTGTCTATATTTAAGTATCTTAGGTATTTATTGGCTTAGAATCATCAAACTTTGTGAGTTTATGCATCTTGGGTTTTCGGAGAGTGACGATCAAAAAGTAAGTCACGGTGACCTTCTTTTGACATTTTGTGGCTATAATAAAGTATCTCAGACTCTGGTGCTTATTGACCTGAAATCATCAAACTTTGTCAGTTGATGCATCTTGGTTTTTTGGAGAATGTCGACCAAAAAGTAGGTCACAATGACCTACTTTTTGAATATCTCAGGTACGTATTAGTTTAGAATCATCAAACTTTGTCAGTTTAGGCACTTTGGATTTTCGGAGTACGTCGACCAAAAAGTAGGTCACTGTGACCTACTTTTGACATTATATGGCTATATTTAATTGTCTGGTGTTTATTGGCTCGGAATCCTCAAACTTTGTCAGTTGAGGCATCTTTTGGTTTCATTGAATGTCCAACAAGAAGAAGGTCACAGTGACCTACTTTTGAATATCTCAGGTACTTATTGGCTTAGAATAAGTAAATTTTCTCAATTTAGTCTTCTTGGGTGTTTGGATTACGTCGACCAAAAAGTAGGTCACTGTGACCTACTTTTGACATATGATGGCTTTATTTAATTATCTCTGGAACTAATTGGCTTAGAATTGTCAATCTTTATCAGATGATGCATCTTGAGTTTTCAGAGAATGTTGACCAAAAAGAAGGTCATGGTGACCTACTTTTGAAAATCTCAGGTACTTATTTAATTAGAATCATCAGTATTTGTCAATTAATGTATCTTGAGTACTCAGAAAATTTCAATCAAAAGGTAGATCACTGTGACCTACTTATGGTATTTTATAATTATATTAAAAAATGGCTAAATATTATCAAACTTTGTAAGTTGATGCATTTTGGGTCTTATGATACTAATAGAGTTTTAGGCTTCTAATAGAAGTGATAGATTGTACAATTTATCAGAAGAGCGATTCTTGGGCCTCTTGTTTTCAACACAAAATTTGTCATTCAAAACGGAAGGAAGAAGATATGTAAATATTTATTTTTCAAAAATTTAAATATTGCACATTTCATAATTTATATTCTATTTAATAATTAATGATGTGTTTACAAAATATGAGGTCATATTCATGTAATTCTGCTAGACTATTGTAAAACTAAAAATAAAGGTATTGATTGAAGGTCTTTTACTTTCCATGTTTTTAATATAAAGCAGTAGAGATACACACTTACCAGAGACACAGACCTGTTTGTTTTTATTAGGGTGCTAAGTTGTTCTTTTAGTTTACCAAATTTTGTTTTTTTTAGATTACTTGAAGTTTTGGATTACCTCAATCAAGACATTTGGAGGCAAAAAGGCACCACTGTTTCTTGTTGCCACACACACAGAAACAAAATCTACAGATGTAAGTAACCAGGCTAACAGAAATGTGAATTACAAAAAATAACTGAAACCAACATATTTTGAGAATGCACTATTACAGTTTAACTTCAAAAATACAAAAGAACCAAAATTTAACTGACAGTGAATTGTATCACATATTATATACTGTAAATGTATTATATTTAGAAGTACAATATATGGCGGAAATTGGATTTTGAACAAATTAGCGTGGATTTTATTTGGCGCATATCATAATGCTTTTCTTATATGTGCGAGGCATATAGTGTTGTTCTTGAATTAGGGGAGATTGCTTTCTGCCAAAAGTGCTTAAAAGAATACACAGCCAAATGTAATACGTTTACAGTAATTTGTATTGCATCCCAAGTTTCATATAAATAGATCTACAGTGCAGTTGAAGTCAGTTTGAACTGTGCACCACATTTAATACTGAAATACCTGTTACTGCACATTTTTAATTAAGTGGTTTAGTTTACATATATAAATTAATATTTTATACATGCTTTATTTACTTCTTCAGGAAATAGAAACATTCTTTGGGGAGTTCTGGAATGCTGTTCCAGACGAGGACAGAGATTGGTTAAGTGAGTCTCTGAATGATCGGGAATATGCTGTGGGTCTAAAGGAACTTAATGATAACACTAAAGCAATGCTAGAGTCAATGAAAAACTCCATAGTGGAATTATTTACGGATGAGAATGCTACAAAAATTAAATTGCCTTCTTCGTGGGCTCTAATGGAGCAGTTATTGTATGAAGGAGGCTGGAAGGATTTGTCTCTGAGTGAAATCTCGAAGCTCAACTCATCTCTTCCTTATGAATACCAAATCAAAAATGATGAAGAAAAGACCAAATTTTTAAAATGTTTCCATGATAATGGTCTTCTTTTGAATTTTGGAGAAGCAGAATTAAGGGAACATGTTATACTAGATATTCAGTGGCTTGCTAATGCTTTCAGCAAAGTAATTGCTGATGAAAACCATATCAATAAAGATTGTAAAAGGAAATTAATTAAAGATTGGAAATCCTTCAACAAAACAGGGGAACTTAAAGATAAACTGATAAATGCACTGTGGAAAGATGAACCCTCTTTCTCGAAACATAAAAATGAAATTATGCCATACATGGAGAAACTTCAAATGCTGGTCCCTTTGAATGTACTTGAGGCTGTATCAGAAGGTGGCATGTCATGGTATGTCCCATGTATGAACAAAAAGCAGTTTAAAGCTGACTTGTTTCATAATAAATGGGAATGCTCATCCATTTTGTGCTATCGCTTTACTTCCTTTGCCATGTTTGTGTTCTACAGACTGGTAGCATACTGCATAAGTCTTCTAAAATGGACTGTTGCAAAAGATGAAGACAATGAAAGAAGTCTATGTCTTTATCAAACAGCAGCAGTGTTTGATCACAAGGAACACACTGTTGTTGTTGGCATATGCAGTGATGATATTCAGTTGCAAGTGCTTAGAATCAAAGACTTGCCTGTAGACAAGGAAGTATCAAATGAAATTGGAGATTCCATTGAAAAGGCAATAAAAAAACTGACTGAAACATTTATTGACACAAAAATATTCCATAGAGGATACAAATGTCAGAGCATTATCTGTAATGAGAAAGATCGTTCTTTTACACTTGCAAGTGAGCTTTCCAAAATTAAGACTGAGAAAACGCAGTGTAAGTGTCAACTTCAGGAGAAACATATGATAGATGTACAGACGACATTGAGTTTTTGGGAAAAGGTAAACATTGTTTTTTAACTGCAATGTATCCCTAACTTAAATAACAGCATTGTACTTGAATTAGCGAAAGTTTCTTTCCGCCAAAAGTGCTAAAAAGAAAACACAGCCAAATGTAATACGTTAACAGTATCATATTTTGGACAAACTCTGATTTAACATAAACAAAGTATGTACATAATTTTGAAAACTTCTGTTTGTCTCTAGTAAGTAAATTTATCCAATTTCATAAATAAGGGTTCATTCTACTTCAGGCAAAAATGAGCGTTCCTAAAACTCCAGTGGCCTCCGGTGGACATGACCATGAGGGACGATCGAGATTCGCAAAACTTGGAATGGCAACAAATGATGTGTTAAATCAGGCATACAGAGATATACTGGAGATGGAAGTATCTCCATCCGATATTGAAAAGAAAGCTAAAGCATCAGCAATTTACAAAAGATTGCGCACAGAGCAAGAACATCTCTTGCTAGATGCTAAGCATTCAGGATATAAAAACTTTGACATTTCATTAACATACACGTTAATCCGAAACATTTGTTCAACGATCCCTAAACCAACAAAAGGAAAATGGGGAGAAGAGCCTGCAGCAGGAGAGTTTACAGTGGGTGATGATATCGAAAGAATAAGGTCCATCCGAAACAGTTTGACTGCACATGTGAGTTCAGCCTCCACACCTCAGACAGAATTCACTTACACTTGGACGATGATGTCGGATATCTGCCAAAGACTGGAAACCTTAACTGGAAAAAAGTACTTGGATAGCCTCAAAGACATTCATAAACTGGCTCTAAAAGAGGAGGGGGAAGATACAATAAAAGCTATCATAGAAAAGTTTGCCAAGGATCAACACGAACAACATGAACTGTTGAAGACAGTCGTGTCAGATGTTCAAGAATTAAAGTCTCAAATAATGACATTAAAACGAAATTGAAGACTAAAGGCAGCCTTTTAGAAATACAATGTAATAATATTTACTCGTAGAATATTTGCAGGACTACTGAATAATGAATTCCGTAACACTTGGTTGAAGGTATCGGAAATCGGCAATGCATTCGCAAGTTTCATTGGTGAAAAGCCTCTTGATAAGATTTATATTATATCAAAAACTGAAAATGAGGAATTCAATATTTCAATTACTTACAAGTTGTTAAGAAACATTTGTTCAAAGATCCCTTAGCCAAGAAAAGAAAGGTGGGGAAGAGGAGCAGGCAGCAGGAGAGAGATGATAGTGGGTGATGGTATCGAAAGAGTTAATACGAAAAAAGTTGACTGCATATATACGTGAGCTCAGCCTCAACTTCTCAGACAGAATTCAATAACAACGTGGTCAACAATGTTGGATATCTGCAAAAGATTGGAAACTTTCACTTGGAAAAAAAAAACTTGGATAACCTTAAAAGCATTTATAAACAGAATTCAAAAGACGAAAATGCTATTTCAGCTATTAGAGAAAAGTTAAGAAGGAACAACATGAGATGTTGAAGAAAGTTATGTCAAATATACAAAAATAAATGCCAGATAGGCAAGAAGTTACCAGACGTGAACAATTTAAAGCAAAATTGATGCTGACAGACAGTGCTGCCCAAGTTAATTTTTTTATGAATCCAACATATGCAGAGTGACTTCAACTTTAAACAGTTGGAAACCAGCCTTAATTGTGAAGCAATACAGCAATCATGATTTTTATCCATGAAAAATCACAACTTTATAAAGTGTCAGAGACCACGTGAGAGGAGATGGGCGAGCAGTACATGCAATCATTTAAAAAATACTCCTACTTAACAGCCTTCAGAATCGCACACTAAGGTATTTTAAGAATTAAACAGGATTTACTTGCCTTCTGACTTCAAATGACGAAGTTGGATGGCACCAATTTCTAAAATTGATGGTTAAATTTGTTCCGGATGTGGAACTGTTTGATAATGATGGACAAGGACTGACTTACCAAAAAAATTCTTCTTGGATTTCAATAATCATAGAATATGGTGCTCAAAAAATTTTTAAAATATGTGAAAAGCTTAACGTTTTTTAACGTGCTTCTTATCCAGTTATTACAAGAAATGAAATACACTGAATGGAAGCTATGTGGATATACCCAGAACATGAAGAGAAAGATAACCAGAATGAAGAACAGAATTATTGCAGTTTAACTAAACATGAATTTGGCCTCCATTTCTCAGACAATATTCAATGACATTTGGTCAATGATGTTTGATATCTGCCAAGATTAGAAACCTTCACTGGAAAGAAGTACCTGGATAACCTATATGATATGCTTGATAAGGATGTACAAGGATTGACTTACCAAAAAAAGAAATCCACTGGGATTACAATAATCATAGAACATGGTGCTTAAAAAATTACAAATATGTAAGGAGCTAGACATCTTATGTCTTTCTTATTCAGCTATTACTAGATATTAAAGAAATAGAATGGAAGCTTTGCAAATATACCCAGAAAATGTGGAAGTAGGCCTACCAAAGTAAAGAACAGATCTATTTAACAAATTTTTATATTTTTAACGAAAATATGAGTTCAGCGTCCAACTCACGGACAAAATTCAATGACAGTGGGCCGTGTGTATATTACTTTTGTGCAGTCGCTATTTTTATGGAATAACGCCCGTAGTCAAGCAATGTTACTGTGCTACATTGGAGATAATGACTTCATTAATTGGATAATAGAGCTTTAAAAAATGTATAGCATTAAGGTATAACTTAACTCAGATGACTAAAAATTCCACTGATAAGAATGAAAAACCACCTATTTCACATTGTACACATATTTCTTGTGTTAAATTTCAATTTCAAATAACTAGGTCAATGACGTCGTTCTCATGCTAGTGGCCTCTGAGTATATTCAGGAAATACCTCAATTTTTCACTCTAGCTACGACAAATATTTTCTTCACTCACAAAATATTACAAGCAACAAAACTCTTTGAAAAATGAAATATTATAGAAATTGTACAGTGTTGCTTCATATAAAGAAAGGATTTGAGTTTGGGACAAAAAGAAGATAATTATTACAGTCCGAATTTCCTCTGTCGAAAAATAAAATATGAAATTTTAAAATTGAAATTGAGTTAAAACTTTGTAATTGCATCTATTTACTACAATTTTCGATTTGACACATCATACTTCATAATCATACATCATAAAATTTCCTTTCTGATTTCTGAAACCTGAGTCAACGTCATCCTTAAATCAGAATCAACTAATTAAGATGAAAGTATAATATTATAGAACTTTTCAAATTCAAGACTGTTAAGAGTCAATCAAATATAGAGTCCAAGAAATAGAAACATAATCAACCGTTAGGAAGGAGGTACAGATTAGGAGCTCGTTAATATTGTGTAGAATTAAAGAATTGCATGTTTTACATAGTTTTATGAGAATGGAAAATGCTGGAGAGTTCATTTTGTTGTAAATGTGCATCCTATACTGTTTGTACCTATTTTAGAGTAGCTGCACAGAGTTCACGTTTGTATGGAAGTGTTGGACGAGAAGGGAATTTTTTTTTTTATAATTTTTCATTCATGATTGCAAATTTTTAAAAACACAGATTTGCGATGTAACTTTGTTGGTTGTATTGATATGTTCATTTCATTTTGCTTGTGTATTATAAACTTAATATCCAGTGGGATCAAAATATTTACAAAATGTCACTTGTTTATATAAATATACGTCGCATATTTTATTTAAGAAATAAAGTATCAATTTTCGAGTGTCATTGGAAAATGACATGAAGTTGGTCACAGGATCAAATTCTATAACTCCCGAAGGGCGTTATAATAAATTTGATCACGTACTGACTTCATGTCATATCCCAATGACAATCTAAAAATGATATTTTATTTCTTATATTTATATTTTTATTTCTATTCACATTGCAAAGACATTCAATGCTCTATTTTGACTTTGTTATTGAATGCAACATTTTGTTTGAAAACGACGTCATATGATCTGACAGTCAAGACTTTCCAAATGTCTCGTGCAGTTTGCTTTCCATATACAAGGAAGTTTGATCATGTGACCGACTGCATATCATTGAAAATTGAATTTCAATTTTTTAGTATTGTCATATAAGGAAAGACATTTGCAAATGTAAATATTTGCTTATGAGTACAGATATTTGCAATCCTTCTCTGTTGCTTGTGATATGTTTATTTTACCTGTAATGTACTGTGTACTCTTTAGTCAACATGCATCATTAGTTTAAGGAATGTTTTATGATAATCAATATATTTAAAATTTTTGACAATATAACTATACACTTTTTACATGCTTCTACCGAGCAGCGTGGGACTTAAAATTGGTGAACTCACTGAAAATTGTATTTTTGAAATCGATCGTGAATGAAGAACAGGGTCACCTTGTTGATAAATTTGTATATCAATTAACATTCAAATTCATATTAAATGTTTTTCTACCTCTGTTAGACGAACAGTCAACGATTGGAACTGATTGGAGCTTCTTGTTACACTCTTGTATTGAGCATCATGGGATTTAAAATTTGTGAAGAACTCACTGAAAATTGTATTTTTGAAATCGATTGTGAATGATGAACAGGATCGTTGTGTTGATAAATTTGTATATCAATTAAGGATAAATAACACAAACTTTTTTCAGAAATCAGCAATATTTTCTCATGAATTTAAATTTCATTTGGAAACCTGAATAATGTGTACCAAGTATGGTGGAAAAATTTTATAAGATTTTGTCATAAGATTAAACATTTTTGCAAAACTTTCTATAAAATTATATAGAAAGCAAAATAAAGTCTCATATCTAAGTACCGAGGAAAACCTACGATTTCTTTACATTTTAAAGATTTATGATTTATGTCATTTCAAACCAGAATCAGTAAAAAAAAAATATCAATCCATGCATCAATTTCAAGCTCAACTAAGCCAAAGGCTCAATGAGCTTTTCGGATAATATTTTGTCCGTCGTTCCTCCGTCTGTCAAAGTTTCACATTTTCAACTTCTTCTCAAGAACCATTGGGCCAATTTTAAACAGACTAGGTAAAATGCATCCTCAGCTGAAAAGGAGATTGAAATGTTAAAATAAAGGGCCACTTGTGAGGGGAGAAAATAAAAAAAGACAAAAAAAGTAGGGGCCATCAAAAAATCTTCTCAAGAACCACTGGGCCAGGAAAACTAAAACTTATGTGGAAGCATCCTTGGATAGTGTAGATATTCATTTGTAAAATTCATGACCCCTAGGGGTAAGGTGGGCCACAATAGGGAATCCAAGTTAACATAGACATATATACAGACCTTGAGACGTGCTACTACCCCACACGCTCGCTGCACGAACGGTACACGAACGCTACACGGTTTGCACGAAACGCTGCACGGTTTACACGAAACGCTACACGGTTTGCTCGAAACGCTACACGGTTTACACGAAACTCTTTGCACGAAAGGCTGCACGTTTTACACGAAAGGCTGCACGAAACGCTTTGTACACGTTTCTCACACGCTTTGTGCACGATTCTCGCACGGTTTGGCCTCTGTTTGGATTTTTCTACTCGGAATATCTCGGGCATTTTTACAGCTTTATCATTAATTCAATGAAAATCGCTCAAAAAGCCACATTAAGCAGCTGTTTAAATTAAATTTAGTACACATTTAGAAACCGAAAGAAATATTTAATACTCTGACAGTTGTAATTAATTGATAAATAATTATTGTTAGTTCGAATTTATTTATTTATTTATCCAACTGTTATAAAACGAAATGCCGATATCGTGAATGTACGGAAGCCCATTTAGGACCTATCAAAAATATTTCTGAATTCGTTATAACAATTTTTTAGAATTCGTTATAACGAATTAAATTTGTTATAACAGATTTATTGAATTCGTTATAACGAATTTAATTTATTTTAACAGATTCATTGAATTCGTTATTACGAATTTAATCTG